CCCCCGGACTAATAACCAATGTGCGTATTCTTGTTATCAGTATCTATCTGTGAACTAGATGGCTAAATCATTAGCTTACAGAGCTGAGAGCAGCCAAGTGTGACCAGAGGAGAGTAATTGATTTCTGAATGAGCATTGGTACTGGGGGGGGGGGGAAGAAAAATAGAGCTTTGTGGCCCGTTGTATCATATTGAGCATTTGAATATGCTTGTCATGAATTATAGTGTTGGGAGTTTTTGTTTTGCACATTATCAGCCTCTGACTGCTCCACCTCCCCCTTTAGCACAGTCAAAGCACACGGCTGCACCTCCACACACTCTCCATAGGGTGGCAGTGTATGGAGGTGAGACAGCCATGTGCTCTGTGTGAAATGGAGCAGTCACTGGCTATTTGAGCAGATTAGCTTGGAGACAGTAACCACACAAGGATCACACACCCCAACCGCCACTCTCTCTTTTGCTTTCATAATCACGAACCCCCGTCCGCCCGCCATGCTGCCTGCTGATGACCTTAAAACGCAGCTTCACCCTGCTGGAATAAGATTTTACTAACTGCTTCCAGAGTTAAGCATCAGACACATGTACTGTTTGTTTATCTTGCTGCGTCTTTGTTCACAAAAGGATTTGCCTGAAATGTAAACTTCCTCTTTCCGCCACAGCCTGCACTCTGTCTCTCTGTGGCCTTCTTGGAAATACAGTCTCATTCCTCAGTGTCTGTTCTCGGCTGAACTGCTCTTTTATTCAGATGAATGAGGCCCTGTTTAGCCTGGAGAATGACACAGACATAGAAAGTCCATGTGAGAGCTTGAAGAATGTGGAAAATCAGGGGCTTATGGAAATAGAATCTAAGTTATTACACGTGGGCTTTTGTTTGTGATTGTTTTCACTTTTTATGTGTGCTAGTTTATTGCCATACAGAGTTGTTTATTCTGGTTCATTAGCATTTCACACGCTATCCATCTACTACCGTGGCTTCATTCTTCATTTCAGCAAGCTGAGATCTAATGGAAACAATGTGAGCCCACATTAACTGCAGTTTGTTTTCTTTCCCAATATCAAAGTCTTCTGATGCTTAATCAGGTTTTTCTGTATTTTGTTAAGTTAAAAAGGCTGTTCTTTGTCTGCCAGGTGGCAGTTACCTCCATCTGGAATCAGGTTTACTTACATTCATATTATTTCATATGCAATAGTTTTTACCAAATGGCTGCTGTGTGTAGCTTGGCAAAAGACATTAGACATATGTAGCCTACAAGTGTCTTGGTTTTCAGAGTTGTGCTAGGCTGCCAAATGTGACTGTGAATAGCTAAGTAAACAAGATAGCTACGTGAGGCTAGACCTTGCTCTGATCGCCTGAAGCTAAATACCATTCCTCGGCTTCTTTCACATTTTTACAACTGTGTTAATGATCGCATTTAAAAGGCTGGCTAGGTATTAGGTTAATTACTAGCTGTGTGCTTGGATTGTCTCCAGAGGACATCTGGATTTTCAGTGATTGTTTTGTCACCATAATAGGGTTGTTTGCTTGTTTAGAGAACAGTGTAATCACTATTCTTGACGGTCCCATTTTCATTTTTGGAATGAAATTTGACTGTAGAGAGCTATTCTTTTTAGCTAAAGCAATAGTAGTTGAATGTTAATATCCACAAGCATGTAGTTAACTATATTTAGTCATATAATTTCCTCGAGTTACTTTGTTGGGAGATTGGAGAGGATTGTTTTATTGCTTCCCCTTCTCAGCCCCCTCCAGGCAAAGTCTGTGTTTTAATTAGTCGTGTAGGACCTTATTTTCCCTTTGGATTCCCCAAACTTGTAAAGTGCTCTCTTAAGAATCCTTGAAGGCTAAAAGGAGCAATGAATGATTTGAAGTCAGCCTTTTTTTGCTTGCCTCCCAGCAGTGAAGGAGGAGGCCTATCAGCACTTGCTGCAGTATGAGGAACAGTAACTTGAAGCAGCAGTCACACTGAGTCTTTGTTCTTTATGGATTTAGTACGTGTGGCGAAGAGAGAGTCGCAGCTTTAAAGCCCCATCTGGAAAAGCACTGTTCACATTTTAATATGAGAAGAACAGCTTCTGTAGATAATACCTGCCTGAAAATTGTAAAATTGTCTCAGGGTCCAATCAAGTTTGTTTTCCTCTTTGTATTATGTTTTGGCAGCGGGGAAGTTAGCTTGTTACACTGTAGAGATTTAGTCATGTGTTAAAAATCGAGCCTCTGAAGTACACCCCCACCACCGCCACAACCTACCCCTCCTTTTTGGTTTACAAGTCCGTTTTCTTCTCTCAATCCCTTTTTTTCCTTCAACTTGTCTGCTCATCCCTGGTGAATGTATTAAATGAAGTTACTAGATATGAGTGCTTAAGAGGCCAGTGCCTCTGAGGCTTGCCAAGTCTCTCACAGGCTTGGCTAAGTCATCCATGTCGCTTTTTTTCTGTTGTTTCAGCTACTGGCTGACTTACTTGTATCGCCAAGCACTTTCCCTATGTCTCTTTCTCGCTTGCTCTCTGCTTGTAGCCTGTGAGTGGCTTGTTTTTCTACACTGTGGAGAAATCAGGCTAAAGCAAACAGTGTGTGTCAGCCACAGCTTTTGTTAAGTATTCATTTTTAATGAGCGTAAGTGGCTACAGAATCCTATAAACCATAAAAGGAGTAGTCAGACGGGGGGGGGGGGGGGGGGGGGTTCATGTTGGCCTTTGATTCAGTGGCTGTCTTGCAGTCTTTTTGTTTAGTCACACTTGTACTAATTATGTTTGATGTGGATGAAGAAAACATATTTCCAAATGATAGTTTATGTTGCTTTATTGTGTCTCTCCCTCATACTGGTTTTGGTTAACTTTTTACAACCAATTCTATTTTAATAATCTTATAGACAAAGACTGTTTTGGAAAAGTGTAATTTCTATTCCCCGAGGCAGCCTACAGTTCTCTTAGATGTAATTTCCTCTGAATTAAAAAGAGGCACCAAGTAAACTAGTTTTTTGTTCTGCTGCGGATCGAAGGCACTGTAGCTGTAGGAGGGGTGCTCAGGGAAAAGGTATTGTGATGGGCCGTTTGAATGCTGAACAGAATTGAATAGACACAGTCAGCTTCCCAGATACATGCTTAGGCCTGTAGAATGTGGAGTGCTTTGCTTGTAACTGCACCGGTTGTCTCCTTTCATTATCGGTTAATGGTGCCCAACTTGACAGAGCCATGTGATAAACAGAGGAGCTGTGAAATCCTGGAGGTGGAGTTCTCGTCTGGCTGATAATGGGATCTCATCTGCCAGGGAGGGGAGCCTGCCCCGCCAGCCAATCCAGCTTTGCTCTGCTCTGCCTTCAGAAAGGATTCACTGCACTCACCCTTCACTGCTGTCTTGGCCCAAGTTAAGCCCCAGAAACCTCCTGAACATGTTGCCTGGTTACTCCTTGCGTTACACCTAATAGAATACTTTTTTTAAGCTTGAAATATAGCCGGAAAAGGAGGGACATGCTTCTTATCAATGCAGGATCCTCTAGATGTTTGTGTTGCTCAGTAAAGGAGGCAGACTGTGTGTACATATCATAAACATTGACCTTGTGAAATGTATACATACTGTGATAAGGGAGGAGCTGAGGTTCCTGTGGTGTTAGGTTACTATATGGAGGGGAGATGGACTGCTCAGGACAGTCGCCTCAGGAGCTGGATAAGGTTTTAGCAGCACTTTGTTGCACACCCCCACTCTCAAAGCAAAGACGACCAACATGGATTGTAGCACAATGAAAGACCCCCTGCACACCACCCTCAACTCAATTGCTATTGATCCCTACTGCCTGCCGCTCCTGCTGCCAGTGTTTGGCTTTAGTGCAAAAAGAACCCAGTGCTCCAACTATTTGCTTTAGTTAATTGGATTTTTGACAGTGATCCAATATCATGTTTAAGACAATGAAAATGTGTCAAGCTACTTGCTCGGGAAAATGGAAATCATCCTATTAATTTACAACTCAATGCAGTCCATCTTTGTTTTCACGCTTCTCCTGTGTTATTGAGATTGACAGATTCCAGTTAAAAAGAAAACACATCGTAATGTATATTTTCTAGCTCAAATCAACACTAAATGAATACGGAGTCCTTGGAAAATTACCAGGATCACATTTGATGTGATGTGCATTGCTAGCCATTAAAATCTGCCTCCCAAATATTGCTAATGGACTATTCACATTATCATCCCTGCTTGTTTCTGCCTTTTTAATGGGTGGGGTGACTAATTAATTCATTATCCAAAAATGCAAATGAGCTCCAGAAGCCTGAGCTGCTTTCAGTCTCTTCCCTCTCGTGTATTTTCCGGCAGATGCGTGTGGCTACTAATGTTTTCTGATATAAATCAGCGACCTGTATTTAAGATCATCATTTCATGTTTTCTTTTTATTTATCGTTCATTAAAACGTGTCATTGCTTTGTGGCACTGTGCAGAGAGAGAAAACATGTAGTGTGTTATTAAGCCATTATTAACAAGGCACTAGTACTACTAGCTTTCACGGCTTTTCATTGTCTCCCTTAGTGTTTTAGTCACATTCCCATAAGCGTTACCATTGATCGGTTGATAGGTCGGGCCACTTTGGCTGCCTTGCATCTCGCTTTCTGGTGCATTTGCACACACACACACACACACACACACACACACACACACACACACACACACACACACACACACACACACACACACACACACACACACACAGAAGCGTTTCCCTACGGGGCTGCCATCAATCAACAGCCCCATTGGCGCCCCCCCCCCCCCCCAACCAACACCACCCTTTTGTCCCTGACGATCATTTGAATCCAGTCCATGTTTTTGTTTCGCTCGGTTCTCTTCTTTTTTTGAGTGTGGTCGGGGTAATTCTCCTTCACTAGTGTCTGGATAAAGAAAGACTAGGTCAGCCATGTGGATGCGTCTGTTGAACAGCTGAAGAGGAGGAGGAGGGGAGGAAGAGGGGGGTTTAACAGAGACTGAGGGAGCGATAGGGAGAGCGTGGAGAGTGTGTGTGCATAGGAAAGAGAGAGAGAGAGAGAAGAGGGGGGGGGAGAGAGAGAGCGCGTGTGTGTGGAAAAAGGAAGCGGAGCCTGTAAACGGCGCTGGTTTCCTACCCCTCGAAACAACTCACAGCGCTGTGTTACTTTTCATGTGGACACTATCATCGACAGCAACAACAACACGGCCAAAGGGAATAGCAGCAGAACCGAGACGGGAACCAGCTACAGTGCCTTTACTCGGCCATTTCGGACGCGAACAGTAATTCAGTAAAGTGAAACCGTCTTTTGTTGAAGCAAGTGCTCGCCCGAGCCCCTCCGTGCGGGCAGCGGGTTTAAAAGGAGAAAAAAAAACCGGGGGGGATACAAAAAAAAGTGTCCTTGTTCGCCTCGTTTCGTCCCGGTTCTTGGATGTGGCCCAGCTGGCTTAAGTTCGGTGGGTCATCTTGGGCTAGGATCGCATTTTGAACTCTTTTTGAAGCAGTCTCTGGGACTCCAAAAATCACCAGACTGGCGGGTGAGTAGTTGAATACAAAAAAAGATTGCAGGACGGTTGTGGTTGGAGGCGGAGGAGGAGGAGGAGGGGGTGGGGGGCGCAGACAGGGAGAGCAATGTGTGGGTGATAACTTAACGGAATTTTGGGATATTGTGATGAAAAAAAACCGGGGAGTACTTAGACTTTGAGCAAAAAGTGAATTAATTTTGTTTATACCAGGAGTAGGAAGCGTGTGTGACCTCGAGTCAAATGTTTCTGAGTGCTCCGGCGAGCTGAAAGTTGGCTGCATTGTTGTAAAACTTGGCTCTCTCTGGACTGTGAAGCAGACCCTCAGGCAACCTCCATGACCTGGCCAGCCTGGAACAGGGCTTCTGCAGCGAATTGTTTTTTTTAAAGCTGAATAATGAGGTAAACAAACCAGAGCTTGAAAGAAAACATTGCTGGCCAGGAAATATACACACACAAAAACTACTGAGGTGTGTGTATTCAAAGTCAACTTTGAGGAAAGAAAAGTTGCACATTGACAGGGAAAACTGCTGAAATGGATCTTGATGAGTCAGTGGCACATCCATTTTTGATGGGTGGGATTTCCCCAAGTTTCACATAAAAATAATTGGCTGTTGGATTTACAGCCTTGCTGGTGTCATAAATTGATTATTGGACTGTACTAATGGAAAGAAGTTGAGGGAAGGGGACGTTGTGCAAAAAAGACCGGCTGAACCAGCAAACTGTTGAAGGACCACCACATTAACTTGACTTCCCCCCTTCAGCCCCCCAGAGGCTATGAACTCTGGCCCAAGCACATGCAGCTCTCACTGTGGGGTGGGGGGGGGGGGGGGGGGGGGGGGGTAGATCTGGGCCTGTTGTTGAAAAGAGCAAGGGGGGCTGGTGTGTGTGTGTTTAGGAGGGGGAAGATTAGGATTTGAAAGCAGACTACAGTTATTTGTCTGAAAGGCGGCTTATTTTATGTTTTCCAGTTATAGTAGAAGGGGGAGGAGGGCTTGTTTACTTAAATCACTGTAAAATTGGTCATAGTAAGTCTTCATGTGACTCCAGTCAGAAGCTGAATCCACAGGCTATGTGGCCACATAAGCACAAAGAAAGCTTCAGCCCTGAAACAAGATACAAATCCAGGATGAGGGGGGGGGGGGCATTGATTGCTTCAATCTCCGCCATATAAAAACAATCCCTTCCTGAAATCCTCCCCCTGCTGCTGCATTTTTCACTGAGCTATTACATGGACTCAGATGTTGCAGTGCTAATTGTGGGGAGCTAATCTCCACCATGCTCAACTTCCTGTGGCATTTTATTTGTCCCCATGCTAGCTGCGAAGTGACCTCTAGCTTAATGATTTAGATGTGATTAATCCACTTGAGTGGGACGTCACTGCATGAGCTAATGTATGGCCCCAGCACTGCAGATAATGTATAATTGCTGGACGCATAAAGGACATTTACTAACATTTAAGGCTCATTCGGTTTTAAAAGTCATGTGAATGTGAATATGAGACATATAAGGCATGTGGTGCAATTATAGTTCAAAAGTGAATGGTGGTTGTTCTCCTTAGTGTTCCAGTAACTCACAATGCTGAAGTGCCTACGTGTGCTTTCGTATCTTAAAGGGGAGGAATCTTGCTAAATTATGTTTATTTTTTTTCATACATGTTTTTTTTCAAGGTGATGGGTTTTTTTTGGGCAGCCATTCTTGGATGACAATATGATGAAATAAACAATACGTTTTTTTCCCGCATTCAAGTCGTATAGGTGACTTTTTCAGGTTTATTAATGTTTTGGTGGTCACTGACTTGAGGGGTAGGCCTCTGTCTGAGATGGTAACCAGTAGTCAGATACAAATCAATTTAGTTGTGTTGATAACATTTACTATCATGTGGGAAAACTTGCATCTGAACACATTTAGAAATGTTATTTTCTACACTCCCCCAGAGGTTAGGATAGCTATTCAGTTTCTCTACTTGTGGATTGTATGAACGAGGAAGTGGTCCGACCTCTTAATGGAGTTGTACACAAGAGCCCAAGTTGTTCTGCTGTGTGAGATTTGTATGGGAAGAGAGCACTGAGGGTTTCACAGTAAGACTCCTATCAGATAAGAATAAAGCAGTCTTAATCTTAATTATCTACACACTACCATACAACTGTCGCTATCATTTCACATTCTTTCTATTTGCACTGCTTCATACTGGTATTTGATGGAAATTAAATCTGATGTGCAATTTGATCTTTGTCTGAATCTGCAGTCTGCGTTGTTGATTCATGTAAACCAAAGGGAATCATAGTGGCACTATGAGTCACCCCCCCTTCATAAACACAAGTCTTACTGCTGACAAGGTACAGAGATCTAGTAAACATTCAGCTCACATACAGGCGCGTGTATGAGTGTCACCTCTGAGGAGTCTGAGGGGCGATATCCGGATCAAAGAGGCTGTTTCCGACCATACAGAGAGAGAGATGCTTCATAGAGTGAGGCTGTAACGGCTGTCTAGCTCCTCAGAGGCGGCTGAATGTTTGACAGGGCATTGGAAAAACGTTATTTAATCTGCTCGCATGATGGCCCTCACTGGGATTGCACCATGCGGTGTGTCTGCCCCCTTTTTTCCTCCCTGTGTCAGGATGATGGCAGCTAGTAGAAAAACCTTCAGGTTGTCTGTGTGTTGTTGTTTTAATGGCATGATGTAATGCATAAAGAATCACAGAAATTGTAATTGATGCAATGTTGGCTCTAATTGTCTTTCTAATGAGTAAGTCTGATTGGGTCTCGATAGCTTTCTGAATATCTCCACTGTAGGCCATTGTGATTACAAAGACACAACTCCATCTCTCTTATTATAATAAGCAACATCAATTCAAACAGATGTGATGTTTGACACTTTTCACACAAACTGTTTATTAGAGGCGTATCAAATAAATACAGGTACATTACAACACTAGCTATTTGGTTATGGAGGTGTGGCCGTACTGCATACATCTCCGTCACATAAAAGATACGGCTCACAGTTACTGTATTGTTGGGGTCAAAAGTGGGAGGCTCTTCTGACCCCAACAATACAGAAATGCAAGGGCCGTCTTGTCACAAAGCTCGGCGGAAAATCAATGAGAAGTCATGGCCTCCCTTACCATTGTTGGTATTATTTCCATCCCCCAACATAGAAGGAGACTCATGGTTTTGACGAACGATGAATAATCTCTTCGGGTCTTGTTGATTCTTCAGACGGGTGTAATTTCTATATGGAACGAGCCCTCTCCCCACTTCCTGACCTATTGTCCTTCCAGACAGTGGTTCAGCGGTGACGCATTTAGAATATGTTAGCCTCTGATTGACATAGTACACGTGAAACAATGGTAGCACTGCTAAGGAGGCAGTACCCTCTGGTGGGTGCCTACTGAAATAGAGAGTGATGAAGGTCCGGAGAGGTGCTTTGATTGTTCATAGAAAATTCCATCTCATTTGTTTTATGCACAGCAGAAGAGCTGATATCTTTAATTAACATAAACCTCGGGAGCCAACGATGAGTGAGAAATTGGGATAATTGAAAATAGGCCCGGTCTCTTCCCCCCCCCCCCCCCCCCCCCCCCCCCCCTCTGTCTGTACATCCTTAAAGCAGCTGAGCCCATTGGAGGGCACTTTCACACATGTTAAGTGGGGGGACATCTGGCCTCGTTAATTCAGTGCATGGTCATAAAGTGGAATGGCGGTCCCCACAGGGCTGCCCGCTCTGCACACCGTCAGATGGAGCCTGTGCGTCCTCCTCACTGCCTCCTCTTCCTCCCTGTTGACTGTCCCTCTGGCACCAGCTCTGACACCTCAACAAGAATATCCTCACAATCCTTCTGTAATGTTTTAACACGCAAGCAAATGTCAGAGGCAGATAAAACGACAGTACATAAAGTTTCATGTGCCAGAAAAGAAAATTGGGTATACTGCAAGGACTGTAATGGGTGGTTTTACTGATCTATCATAAATGTAATTTACTTAGCCGAACAAAGAGAAAAGACGCTCTATGGGATTTTTGCAATCACCTATACTACAACAGATTATTCCCCCTTCCCCACCATGGATATCAGTAGCCTGTGTCATTTAAGTGCATGTGTTATGATGAGTGGGCTGTCAGAATCTATACTCCAGTATCCAGCTTACATCCTCAGCAATGTCAGCATAAAATCGAGTGACAGCAGCAGGGAAGCATTCATGCTGCGCATTCACATCCTATTTTAGCAAGTAAACATTTAATGTGTTTAAATGTATCACAGCTTTATGTATGCATAGAATCTGCTGTTAAGTCTGAATTATACATTAGCCAATGAATAATGCATCAGTGCCATTCCTTAATGATTACTTGCCAGGCATCGAATGGTAATATTTGCTGATAAATCTCCCCATTGATCTAGCCTGTGTTTAACCAGGCTTGTAGAGATGATGTTTGCTCCATTTTGTGTTCAGGGAGAGTTTTTTGTGAAGGATGTAATCAAAAGCAAGATAATAGTTTTTTTTTTTTTTTTTTTTAAATAAGCTGTCTTTTGAAAATGACAAATGAACCCCAAGGAATTAAAGCAAAATGGATACAATTTGAGCACAGTTTTCAATTCGCCCATTTTCTCTAACATCTCAGTAAGGTTGGTGTGTTTACACGCTGGCCGCTCTTCATGGCTGCTCTAAGGATGAGTTGTTTATCCTTGGACCTCGACAGATCAATGTCCAATTACAGTTCTGTCTTTGTTGGCTTGTAGCCCTTACACGAAATAGTATGTTTGTTGAAAGTACAGATAGTCTAGACAATGTCTGGTGAGCTGGTAATTTAGCCCACACTTGGTAAAGGTTTTCTTTTGATATGTGTCTTTATTAGCACTAGTCAGAAGACACGCACCCGACACATTAACAGCACATTATCAGTATAATGGTGCAAGTCTAGCTATGTCTTAGCCTTGAAGCACAGCCCGTTACTGTGTAGATGTATTGCTTGTCCACGCAATGAGAAAATATTGACTTGTTGTCACTCACTCATTTGA